ATTATTCATAATGTAATGGCTCCTCACGAAGTTCAGATATTCACGTAACTGGCATATGGGAGGAAGGAAAGAGGGAGAGAAAGAGGGAGAGAAAGAGGGAGAGAAAGAGGGAGAGAAAGAGGGAGAGAAAGAGGGAGAGAAAGAGGGAGAGAAAGAGGGAGAGAAAGAGGGAGAAAAAGAGGGAGAGAAAGAGGGAGAGAAAGAGGGAGGGGGAGAGGAGAGAGAGAGAGAAAGAGAGAGGTAGACAAAGAAAGGGCACAGGTGAGTAGCTGCTCGCATTTCCAGCCCGAAAGACGACTGCCTCCCTCTCTGGAAACTCTCTCACGGGGTCACTATAGCAACAGCCACTTTGCACTATGTCTAACGAAGCGGTAACATGTCTGCAGCCTGCAGGGATTTGTAGCCCTTCAGCTTTCCACTAGTTCTGCTCCCTTCAGACATCTCCGAGCATAATGAGTTTGAGAAATACTGTTTTAAACCCAAATCCACAGCCAGGTAATTATCTGCACGAAACTAACCGAGACACTAGTTAGATCAGAGAAACGTGGTGCAGGGGTGTTATCCCAAGAAGCAATCATCAAGCTGCTCACAACTTTCTGAATTTCCATGTGACCAAATAAGCTGACTCCTTCACCAACTTGCATCATCTAAGAATAGCTTTGGCTGAATTAAAGCACATTAAAATACAAGTGTAAGCCTCTTAAAAGATACAATACATGGACAGTTATTTCTGATAGCTCCAAAAAAGCTCAAAGGGTTAGATGTCAAAAAGAACATCCTGAGGGCAGAAATTACAAGTGTGAGCGTGCAAGTGCACTTGGAATAATATCTCCAGTCCATATATTCATGCTACTCCGTCAACACACTGTTGTGTCCCAGCTGACCGCTCTTTCCATTTGGCTCTGCTGTGAGGTATGTTTTTTTGTGAGGTTTTCTTTTTTTCTTTTTTCTTTTTTTTTTTTTTTTAGGGCTGACGCCAACTATTTTATTCCCTGTTCCAATATCTTCATACTGAGAAAAAAATGAATCTTTGAGATTTACATGAGAAATATAGACATATTTCCCTGTGGTTTAATGTCTGGCATACAGGATACGGACCGTACCTGTGATAAGCTGCTGAAACAAGTTCATGAGATGTAGAGATAAAACTTACCAAAAGTGTTCACTAGGGATTCCTGTTTAATAATCTGAATGTCCCTGCACACATACTGTACAGATTCCAGATAAATACAAGAAATAGGTAGGAAAGAAGGGAAAAAAAAGTCAAAATAATTAATTTCAAATTTTACGAAGTTCTGTGCCTGAAGTGACAAGGTTTTGAGATCACTTATACTACATATATACTACATATAAGCCAAGCATAAGCAAATCCTATCCTCCTCATAGCTACTCTGACATAAAGACGGAGTAATACTGCTGAATTCAGTGAGTTCATCAGAATTTGTATAATCAAAAGTTTCACCTGCATTCAGTAAAGCTCTCTGTGTATGAAGCGTTTCATAACAGAGACCCAGTGCTTGGGATAGTGAATCTTCTGTGTCCATAACCCTGCAGCATCAGATTTTATTACTATATTCTAAACACTGACCAAATTTTGACCTTCATTCCTCTGCAGAGCGCAGTCTCATATATGGTGCAATAATGACCTCTGCGCAAGGACATGGAAATCACTTTCTGTACCTATGACACAATAAAGAAAAAACTTGCTAACATTTTTAGGGAATAATCTTAATTAGGAAACAATACACCATCTTCATATTGTAGTCTGGTTATGAAGAAGCCAATACATCATGGATGAACGATGATCCCAATAACCTTTCTTTTAGTTTATTCCACCTGAAAATGACACAGAAGGAATAATCCAGGAAAAAAAAACAAACACAATGAAACAAAAAAGTTTTTGAAGTAATGCGAAGAAGGAAGAAAAAAAGCCTAGATGTGTAATGAAACCTACACAATCATAAATTCAATTGCCAAGACGGAATTTTCAGACCTGCTTTTGAATTGGCATTCAGACAGATTTCCTAATAACTAGGGCTGGAAGGGGCCTTGAGCAGGATTTCAAGAAACAAGCTACTGCAACATTTACTGCTTATCTTGAGATACCATCAACTGTACTTAAATCCAATTAAAATAACGGCACTTATGTGCACAAATACATCTATCAAATTTACCTGTACAGCTGTAAATAGAAGACAAGGTCACTAATTGCAACAATCCATAATACAAAGTAGGAGAAATGCAACACTGAACTACATTTGTTTAAATACCATGGCATGTTCTGAGTAACAATGCATGCATTAATTCTGGAAGTCTAACATACAGGATTTTGTACTGCATAGAACCAAACAGAAAGACAACAGGCCAGTAACTCAGAGGAAGAAATCACACAAAGTAAAAAAAAGTTATTATGTGAGATTCATTTTCCCTTTTGGCCGCTCATTTTCATTTATTTTACATTTACTAGCTGGAACCAGAAGAGGAAATTAAAACAATATATGAAGATATATATAGCGTGCCTGCGGTTCCCTACCTTCCTCTTTAACTAAGATGAAATTTATTCCTTCTTTCTATGTTTTTCAATTGGGACTACGTAGCTTGCATTTTTAGATTTGTCTATTATCAGCTTTAAAATACAGTAAGAATTAGTCCATAAAGTTAAATATTTTTGGTTCCTTGAGACTAATTACATCTGGAGACATTTTCTGCACATCTAGCAAAAGCAATCCAAAGTTATAAAGATACCTTCAAATTAACTGTGCGCTTTAAGCACATTAGTGGCTTAGTATGACAGAGGTATAGCCAACTTATTAAAATCCTTTATAATACTTATCTATTTCAAACTATGAAGATGCTGGAAAAGGAGGTAGATGTAAGGCCCGTAAGTATTCAACAAAAAGCAGACCCATGCATGTACAGAGCTAACGCACTCTGAAGTATAACCTTTAGCTGCCCACCCACCGGCAGCAAGCAAAGCTAGGCCAACACTGCTAATAATAATTCTAGGCTATGAAGTTTTGACACATGGCAATAGTCACCTTCCTCCTTTCCCAGAGAGGCAGCAATTCTGACATTCCCCTCACAGGAGGAAAGCTATGCAAAATATGAAAATCTTCCTCTCCCTTTGCAGTGATTAACAAATTGAAGTGGAGATGAAGTTATACATGGTAGATTAGTTTCTTTCCCTTTAGAGAAGGGAAGTAGCGCTTTTCAAATCCTTAATCACTCAGGGCGATTAACAGCGAGCCTGGACTATGTGTGGAAACCCTATCTATCTCTCTGAACCTTACCATAATGCATGTAGCAGTTTCCTTTGGTAGGGTCCAGCTGAATAGCCTTCATGAAGTACTTCTCTGCCTCGTTCTTCCGTCCCTTAAAAAAAAAAGTTAAAAAAACATTTTAACAGTGTGTCACCATGGAGCCATCACGTGCAGTTACGATTTCAAAATTCCAGGCACTAGAGAAAAACAATTGCTATTATCACTAGACTTAGCCTAAGTAAATATGAATGTTTAAAGTGCTACAGTAAGTTTTGCGGTCAGCTACTTCAGCTGCAGATCTCCAGACTGAGGAAAAAAATGTATCCAACACTGTCAATGTTCACAAACTAAGGAAGTGGTAGAAATCCACTGCAACAAATACTGTAAAGGAATTTGGGTGAACATGGAGCTACATACTACTTTTCTGGACAGGCATCAGGACAAGCACTATACAGACTCAGGCTAAAACAGGAAGGGAGGGGAGCCAGGCTCAGTTATCCTCATTAACAAAAAGAGTGGGGAATGAGAAAAGCATGCGTTATTTTGACCAAATAGCACTATATACGTAGCTGACAGTAAAGTCACTAAAAACAAAGGAACACAAACAGAAAATATTTCTGATTTTAATGCAGGAAGCAAGATTTCATCCAAAGTCAGAGCTCTGTCAAGCATAAAGCACAACAGAAATAGAAAAGGTAATTTTTAAGACAATGATCAATGCTATGACAAAATGGTCAGTAAAAATCAGACAAAAGAGCAGACGGCAAAAAGAGCAGGCATATCCTAAACCACAGATTCTCCTGTCACTGAAACCATCAAGCCACTAAAGTTGCACTATCAGGCACAAAGTGCCAGAGCAGATCCATTACTGACGATTATTCTTTTAATGAGGAAAACAGCAATATTGGATTAGCCTAGTCTGATACTCAAACATCAGTCAGCATCAGCTATTCAATAACGTACCTGTGATCAGTTTATCCCTAACCCCAGGAAATTAGTTGCTGCGGTTTGTATTATAAGGTAGAGGGCCCCCAGAATAAAGAACAGTTAAGCTTAACCGCTGCGGAAGAAAGGCACTGTGGTCTGTGCCTCTCAGGCTTGCCTTGATTGCTATTTCACAGATACATGCACACAGGGTTTCTCGAGTTATGTGGTCTAGAAATAGATAGCTGAACATTGCATACGTCCTGCACCATCCCACAAGTTAACACAAGAATAATAAAAAGGTCTGTTCCTGATTACAGCTGCTCTGGATTCTCAGTATTCCCCTCAAGGGAACTGCCTTAAAGACAATAAAACAGAGAGAGAGAAAAGTTCTGCAGTGCGCTAAGAAGTTTTATCAAGATCAGGTTTTATCAAAACCAAGAGAGCGGGCAAATTTCCGAGAGAGCATCCTGGTAAAGATATCAGCAGCCTTATCATTTACACTGACCTAGTTTCACAAAATGAACATTCATGGGAGGTCAGAGTTTATCATTTAATAAAATTTCTTTGGTAAACCCATAAACTCACCATATTCACAAAGCACGAGGCTTCTGTAAACCAAATGGTGCAATAGTGATAGTGAGGCAGTGCAATGTTGCAATATAAGATAGCATACTCTTTTATATATATGTACACACACACATACATATATAAGCACACACACACACACACACACACAAACACACATATACACATATGCACAGTTATACAACTACAGTTCAGAACAAGAAGTGAAGAAGAAAATAATCTCCAATTGCAAACATAGGCTAAATTCCCGTCAGTGTAACATAATTATGCATATTAAAATTGTTCAGAATTTTACACAGAAAATCTTTCTGGGGGGAGGGGGAGGTGTTGGCATTTAACAAAAAACTTATTTTTTTAATTTTAACTAAACTTTGCACATTTACCTCAAGGTTAGCATTCTTAGTCTGGCAAAAGGTATCACGACATATGCAAGTCCAGCCTAGAGGCTCCAAAATGACAGGCACCAACCATATGTATCACTAATACTGATAGAAGTAACTTTTACAGATTTTGCATCATTGTTTTTTTAACGGACTAACGTCATTAGTCTTAGCTGGTCGCACTCTGTCTCTGCATCTATTTCTAGAATGTAAAAGGACAGTTCTCTGGATATGGTCACCAAATATGCAGTTTCTGCCTACAGAAATATGACCATAAGGCCACAGACATTTGTCAAATGAAATTTGTCAAATTCATTTTCATTTTTTGGGATTACCAAAAATACATGACTGCTCTATTCTTTTTGGCACTTTCCAAATGGCATCCTGCACCCAAGCTGAGGCCAGTCAGGAGACTTGGAGCACATAATGATGACAGGTGCCAGTATATATAGCATCAAAAGAATGACTGGGCTGTTAACAGACCCAAATACTCCTTAACAGAAAAAGAGGGAGAAAAAAAAAAATCTTACACTGTACCACCCAAGGCATAAAATGATCTGACTACAAATGATCAGCACAGACCTATTTGTTAATGCTGGCCGTCGTTTTAATATACCCACATTTGTCAAAAAATGAATGAAAGCACTGTCCCGCGGAATGGCGCCCTGAGGAAGCTTGCATGATGCTATCTACAATGTCCGCTTTGGTGCCATCTGCCTGCTGTTAAAATGTCAATACCTCAGCACAGATTTAATAAGCTTTATTTGTGTGTCAGGTGATATAAAATCCAATCATTTGACAGAATCAGGCTATTCCACCATTAAATTTTAGCATCACTAAACTTCAGCATTTATCAGATTTATGTCTGTATTAAGGCAGTAACTTTTTCCAGCTATCCAACGTACACCTTAACAGAATATATACAGTGTATAGTTAGATTAAGATGGCAACCCCAGTCTCTATCCTTTCCCATCGTATGGGTTCAGTGTTAAATTCTAGATTTTCAAGAAAATCCACAGTAATTATTTAAACAGCTGAAAAATAGTGACTTGGGAAAGGATGGCATTTTATGTGCACATTTACTGTTATGTGCATTGACCCATACAAATGCAGGCATTGAGAGCCGCTGGAAAGCTCCCAACTTCTAGCAGGAGGGTTTGCAGTTGCACATACACAACCGCATACTTTGGCAACTTTACAAAGAAAAAAATATAGGTTTACAAGTGCATGCTAGTGCATGAATTATTTCAAGGATAAAAAGCTATTCATAAAATTTTAAAGGAAGGACTTGATGGCTTTGAGGATTAATAATGGGATAAAGAAAAAAAAAATACTTTTCACCTATTGGTCACTAGTTCACATCCAGGCCCGGTCAGCACCTAATGAAAAGGTGCTACTTGACAGCTGCTAGTTTGCTCTGGGGAAATTAGTAGGTGGTCCTAGCTCAAGCCCTAATGGAGATACTCAATCCAACTCCACATGAAGCACCAGCACGTGTATGGCATTTCTGTGCAGACATCGAAGATACACCAGCATAAAACAACGAATGGCAATCTCATTGATGGGGAGAAGATGCTTCATGAAGACACTTTATAATTTGGGAGATTGTGCTAATATTTTCCTTACTGGACCTGGATCTTACTCAAAAGCCTAAAACGCAAACAAATTTTCAGCAACTTTCACAGAATAAGGAATACTACTTTTTTTTTTCTGTGCCTAAATAAAAGATGAATTGCTCACTACCCTCCAGCAACACCAGCAAATTTAAATGTCAATAAAGTATACGTAAGTAAAATACGGCTCTTATAAGCTAGCACATCAGCTGTGCTGGCTTTCAGAAAGATCCTGCTCTCCATAGATCATGCAGACTTCAAATTGTAGTGGCTAGTTGCTTGCAGTTTTGAAAGCTGAATAGTTCTTAAACATTAAAAAATGAATTAAGGGGCTGAATTTTTAAGACATCAGTGCTTTGCCGATGTTGACTGAAAGGTTTGGGGGGGGTTTTTCCCTTTTTTTTTTTTTTCTTCTTGAGAGACCAGACAGCGGGTCTGACCTTGCTGCTATGGTCAAATATATTGATTCACTAGGTTTTCCTACAAAAGACTTATGATTACCACGACGAAAGAGAGCTAGCTAGGGGCAGTTGCCGTATTAGTAAAATATCTTGCATTTGTCCTTAAAATATTAAAAAAACTAAGGACAAAACTACTGTTTTTTTCTACCCATCCTAATTTTCTTCCTCATTCTGCTAGCAGACTGTGCCAAATTTATGTTGAGGCAGCTGGTATAGTTCAGGCTGCCGGAGGCCCAAGACCCTAAGATGCTAATAAAATTGGAAAAGATTAATACAGCTGAGCAGCTCTGAATAACTCTCTTGTGCAGACTAAGATGACACAGTGGCTACCAGTAAGGTAGTTCAACAAAATAGGTTTCTCCCAGTTTTGTATTTCATAAATATGCATCGTGCTTGAATCTGTGCAAGGGTTTAATCATTAAAGCAGAGACTCCACTCTCCAGGAGAGTGATACAGTCTTCAAAACTTTTTAGTTAGCTGGGCTAAAACTAAGGCAACTGAACAACTGTATTTTATAACAAGCTCACTGACATATACCAGCTCTATGTCTCTCCTCTAAAATTAATACTTAAGTGAAGAAAGGACTTTAAAACACTCAGGGTGAATCTGTGCATACTGATCTTGTAATCTAATAAATTAATTTTAGAAATAATCCCTGCCAGGATCAATAAAATACTATTTATTCTTTTAGTTCTCTCACCTATTTGCACCTTAAGTAGTTCCCTTCCGCTTAAATACATCACCACAGTCGTCTTTCAGCCACAGGTGGATTTTTTTTTGACTCAAAAGCCATCTACTAGCCTTATCAAGTTTCTACTGATGTCAGTAGAATTTTTCTATGAGCTAGAGTTTATTTTAGTAAGTAATAACCTAAGCTGGGTTCCAGAGTTCGTGTCTATGGGGATAATTAATGGCTTGATAACCAGAGAGCTGAGATTTAAGCACTTCCCATTGACTTCAGCGGGAATCTGCTGGAGCTCATGCGTTTTTGAACGTGACTCCACTGCTTTTATATAGATTTAGGAATCTGAAACACAGCTCATAACTTTACTGGCTTAGGGCATGATTCAGAGCCTATCAAGGTGACGTTTTCTTCAAGTAAAGCAGTATGTATCTGATTCAATAATAATATATTAGGCCTATTTG